GTGTTTATATGGCTACGAAAATATCATCGAAGATTCTTGAAGTGTTTTATTATCTCTTTCCTAGAAAGCAAATTCATTTGCATGACAACAGCAATTTGAATATGAAATGTGACAGTCGTATGAAATAACAAACCCTTAAACATCAGGCCCTTGCAGACACTGAAATTAATTTTACGATTAGTTATAACTATACTGACAAAATTCTCGAACCTGATTGGTTACCAGAACTCCCTATTTTTAACCAAATTCAGGAGCTTAATTGACCAGATAAGGAGTTCAATAACAAAGTATCCAGTAACAAGCGCTGTTTATTTAGTTCCTCTCAGTGACTCAGTATTCCTATTTATTGAAAAAAAAACCGTTCAGATAAATCGTAAACAGTCTAAACAGGCTTCGCTTTGTCGGAATCTTTCTCTTCATTTTGTTTGAAGTTATGATCGATGAATTGTTAACAGGAATTCGTGTCATCCAATTCTGTCTGTAATCCTACTTGTGTTTATTAAAGCAAATCAGACTGTCTCCCGCTTTTTGTTAATCATTCGTATGATTATAGTTTACAGTCCGAATTGGACTTCACTCCGGTTCATATCACCATAACAAACTGTTTCCACTTCTCAATAAAGAGATTTCAGTTTCTGAACTTCATTGTTTGAGATACAAGGCATCTATCATTCTGACCAACATCCAACTGAGTAATATTTATCTCTTCCATTATGCGCTCGAGATTCAGTCTACGAAGTAATAGTTCAGTAATGAGATGGTTTTAGTAGAATTAACAAAGTGTCTTTCAAGTAATCATTTTTAATTCCTCCTGAACATTTCGGTCTTGTTAAACATCACTCTTTAGCAGAAACGCTTGCTCATAGCTAGTGGCTTGAATTGAGAATCTTTTCTAATGTTGATCCGATCCAAGATTCTACAGCTGCTATAAACGCACAAAGACAAAAATCACCTTCAAAAATACAACTGCAGTAAACAATACTTACTTTTGCCATTGAGAATTTACTGAGTAAACAGTATTTCGCAGTTTCTCGATCACCGCCGCGTTCGAAGACTTAACACGTTTTTCACAATCAGAATGAAGGTTTAAAGCTGAAGACATCTTTTCTCCACTACTCCGGCCGTATTTCATTTGAATTGCTTCTTAACGAAGGGTATATTAAGACACAATGTGAAGCTTGCGAAAAATGTCAGTAAGGGAAGCTTTTTCTAGTAGCTATATCCTGTATTTTGGATTAAGTTTATTCCTAAAGGCTGACTTAATTCCTTCGTTGAATTAGATATTTTGAAATGTTCATATAGCCACGAATTACATTTCAATGTAGAAGACTTCCGATCACCTGGCGAAGAATGACTACTTCAAGACATTTCTACCTTTTACATACAAAACATATTTGTAAGATGGCCCGCATTTGGAACATGGCAAATAGCGGTAAAGTATAAAACTTTTTGAATTCCTTTGTTTCACCATTCACCTGTTTGCATTGTAATTTTAAGACTCGGTTAATACGTC